AGACTGGACCAGGCTGCCCAGGGAAGTGGTAGAATCCCCATCCTTGGATGTGTTTAAAAGCTGTCTAGGTATGGTGCTGTCTAGATACGTGGTTTAGAAGTGGACGCATTGTAGACTTCATGATCTTAGAGGTTTTTTCCAACCAGAACGATTCTGTGACTTTCTGAAGCAGTGGTTTTGGTGGCAGCTGGGGGAGTTTGGGGAAGAGGAAGGTTTCTTTCTTTTAATGCAGCCTTAAAGAGAGATTCTGTTTTTTCAAAGGGTACGTGACTACCATCTTGGAAGATGCAAAAATTTACTCGAGTCACGCAAAGAAATCCAGCGTGGATGCGGATGACGTGAGGCTGGCAATCCAGTGTCGAACAGACCAGTCGTTCACATCTCCGCCCCCGAGAGACGTAAGTAAAACTGCGTGGATGACAGAACTGCATGGCTGTAAAAGGCTGCAGGGGGGAACTTGACTGTGTTTTTCCAGTTCTTGTTAGATATTGCAAGGCAGAAAAATCAGACGCCGCTGCCATTGATAAAGCCTTACTCAGGACCCAGGCTTCCGCCTGACAGATACTGCTTGACGGCCCCCAACTACAGGCTGAAGTCCTTGCAGAAAAAGGTAAGGGCTTTGGGTACGGAAGGGTTCACCTTATGCCCACGTGGTTTGTCAGGAATGTTGCTGGAATTAGGGCTTTTTACACCTGGGAAGGATACTTTTGGGCAACTTATTTTGCTGTGCAATGCTCAGTGTGTTTGAAACTGGGTCAGTGATCTTTATCTCTAGGGACTTGCGAGTTTTCTTACTGTTTGTTAGTTTCAAAGTGTGTTCAAAAACGAACCTCTGAATCCTTTTAGTGTTGGACCAGAATTGTTGAGTTGAATTTGAGATTGTAAAAGGCAAAAGTAAGGTTTTAATACAGATATTAAAAAGAGTTTTGTACTTATATCTTGTTTCTGCTCTAGAGGGAAAAGATCTGCTTTGCTTGCTGGAACATACCGAGTGTTTCTATGTGTAGGATTTCCTATTTATTCCCCCCATTTTACAGAAAGAACTTGAGAAGTCGAGCTTAAGGCTCTATTCCAGGTATTCCCATGGGGCTCACCTTGGTGCTAGCTGTAGAGTAGAAGAAAAACTTGATTAAAATGTTCCAGTTACTCTTTTCAGTAGAGAAGAACCTGACTGAGCCGGGTGCTGTTTGCCGGATCAGCCGACTGCCGGTCTGCAGCACTAAGTCAGGTCCAGGAGCTCTGCAGCTCACGCCTGTGGTGTTCACACCACGAAGAGTTTGAGAACTTCTGTGTTGAGACACAAATGCTGTGTTACTGCTGGAGTTTTGGAGGAAGAACCATTTATTCTTTTGACGTTAAGAACTGTTCACGTTTAACAGGCCGCTAAACCAGTGTTGTCTCTGGGCAGGTCTCTTCCTCTGCGGGGAGAATCACCGTCCCTCGGCTGAGCGTTGGTCCGGTGAGCAGCAGGCCCAGCACTCCCACTTTAGGTAGGAAACAGCTCAGATCAGGTTTCCTTGATTTGATTTGATTTGATGGAGGAAAAATGTATTGAGGAGTGATTTGAAGCACGCTTCAAACACTGAGGACGTGCTGGGTGCCGCCTGACCTTGGGGTTGTGTGACACCTTAATTAACAGCATCAGAAAAGATAGACCCATTTCAAAGAGATCTTTGTAACCTTTGATACGTACCCGCAGGACTGACTGTGGGCTGGCATTCCTTATTCCTGTGTTTGTGGTAACTTCTAGATGTGAAGGGACTTTAAGAAACTTAAATATGTTGGAGTTTTTTTCTTAGTGTAAGCACTACACTAAAGCACAAATAGCATTGAATAAAATCTGTTGTTAAAAGGTTCACAAAGTTTATGACTGAAAGTGTGCGTTTGCACATCATTGTGTGTGTGCAGCCGAGCGTTTTGTGGTTCTTGAGAAAACGTGCGGTTCTGCCTGAAAATCTGTGTCTAGTACCAGTGTGTTCGTGTGCGTTCCCACTGCTTTGATAGGAATAGGTTCCACTTTGAAAGCAAATTTACAAGTTGTGTGTATTTATTTTTGGTTTGTTTCTCTTTTAACGGACTCGTTTTGCATTTCAGGCACACCTTCAGCACAGACAGTGTCTGTCTCAGCCAAAGTTGGCACCCCCGTGTCACTGACTGGGCAGAGGTTCACCGTGCAGATCCCGTCTTCTCAGGCGGCAGTGAAGTCAGGTAAAACACAAGCTGTAAAAAAAAACCGATGAAAACCACTTTGTGGTGGTGTTTTTAGCAGAAGGGAAATTGATTTATAGTCATAATGTGAGAAATGACCTCACCACTTAGATTTTTTTAATATTGCTAATCTTATGTGTGGTCTTACATGAGCAGACCGTCCTCTCTGGACATTCCAGTAACTTCCAGCTTTACACAGAATCACAGAGCGTTGGGGATTGGAAGGGACCTCAAAAGCTCATCCAGTCCAATCTCCCTGCCGGAGCAGGAACACCCAGATGAGGTTGCACAGGAAGGCGTCCAGGCGGGTTTTGAATGTCTGCAGAGAAGGAGACTCCACAACCTCTCTGGGCAGCCTGGGCCAGTGCTCTGTCACCCTCACTGAGAAGAAGTTTCTTCTCAAATTTAAGTGGAATTTAATTTAATTCCTATTTTGAGCACAGTGCCAAACAGAACACGCAGCATTTTAGGCAGATTTCCCTTCCACCTTATTTGCCACCTTGTGCTCTCTTGCTCTTCTGTGCTTGCTCCTTTAGCACTTTTCCTGTCTTCTGTGCTTCCCTCTCAGGATCACTCCGGGTTTTTGGCTGGAATGTTCGAGTAGCGTGGTTCTTCGTTGGGTTGGAAGTTCTGTGTTAGTGTGGGAAAATCAACTGTCGTTTTCTCAGGCTCTTTATTGAATGACTTCTTTTATTCCACAGCCACACCAACTACTCCAACGGTGCAGAATGTTCTAATTAATCCTTCGTTAATTGGACCAAAGAACATTCTTATTACTACAAATATGGTATCGTCACAGAATACATCCAATGATTCAAACCCCTTGAAAAGGAAGCACGAAGATGATGACGACTACGATAACTTGTGAAGAGTCCATCCCATCCCCTCCCTTCTCCAGTGATTCATACTGAGTCTGCAGGGATTTTGCCAAGAGTTCTTTGTAGCAGTGTGAGAGCCTTTAAATACTCCTTAATACGCAGCTGGGCGAGGAGTGAGAGGGAGATCTTTGCCTGTGGGAAGAGGAAAAAGCAGCTGATCTTTTTTGGGATGTAGCTGGGGAACGTCAGCATTTTTTTTCCCCAAATATATTTGCTGACGCCAGTGCCCCCGACTCCGACTCTGTTAGTAGAAGTAAAAGCCTATCCATGATTTGTTCTAAAGAGCTGCACCTCTCTGTCATCACTTCATTAAGCCTGTGTTTGTATGTGTTTTGAATAGAATAAATAAAATGCCGCTGTTGGCCTGGCCCGCAGCAGGATCTGGTGCAGGGCAAATCATCTGAGTTTTGCTGTGAGCGAGTGACTGGAGCCGTGGTGTGTCGGGATCCCAAGTGTGCTGTACTAAAAGACTGATTAATGTGTGTTTATATATTAATAAACTGAGAGGAGTGTGTTTGTAACAGTGTCTCCTGGTAAGGGCTTTACTTTGTCCTGCTGAGCTTGACATGGCAGAGAGCTCTTGTACAAATTCTGGCTCAGCTGCAAACACAAAACCACCGTTTCCTACTGAGGCCCTGAGAGGATGATGAGGAATCAAATATCCCAGCTTTCGCAGTGAGGAGTAATCGAATAGCCCAGCTTGTGTGTTGTGTTCTTGTGGGTTTGTGAAGTAAATGCTGAAAAAACCCTGCACTTTTCACTGGAGAAAGTGGAGGAGCGTACGGGGGTCTTCTCAGTGTGGAGGGCAATACCAAGCACAACCTGAAGATGCTCATCTTAAATTTAAGCCCTGAGCGCGTGACTCACGCCCATGGGGACATGCCAGCTCCATGCCAGCTCTGGCTGGCTGAAGCACGCACAGCTTGGCACAGCTCTGGCTGGCCCATCCTGGGCCTTGGGGCTTTGTGTGTGTGTTGGAGGGGGCTGGCTCCACCACCTCCCTGCCCTGGTGAGGAAAGCATCAGGCTGGTGTTTCTAGCACGACCCAGAGCGGCCCTGGACAAACCCAGGAGGAACTGGACAGTACAAAGGTATGAGACTAGCTTCAAAAAAAAAAACCCCTCTAATCATTCTGATTTACAGCTTTTCTTCTTTTACAGCTACGTATGGCAGGGGCAGAAGTGTGGCGGGCCTCAGGCAGGCGAGCCGTGTGCAACTGGGCTTCAGATCCACACAACTCATCCTCTTCCAGCAGCAGAGGCTAAACTGGCTCCTTGGTCAGAGCAGATGGTCGTCCTGAGCAGCTGCTCTTCTCCGATGCCTTCCAGCGAGGCAGCATTTGGGAAAGGTGAGGAACCAGCCACTCCCTGGCCCTCTCAAGCACAATGGTGGATTATTTCATAATCCTGTCTGTGAACAGGACAGGTTTGCTTAAACCACAGACACTTGTTACCTTGCATTTCACCACACACAGATTTGTTGCCTTTGTGCTGTGTCTTTGTTCTTCGAAGCTGAATTGATCCTGACTCAGAGCTTCTAAACCCCTTGCATAAGGGATGGGAAAGTCCGTGGGATGAGGGGAATGCTCTTTTGCTGGGAGAAGTCCTCACAACCTCCCAGGACATTTAAAGCCCTTTGAAACAAGCATCATGCAACCATCAGGGACTTGTGCATGCTCAGAAAATAAAAGAGATGACTGAAGCGAGAACAACAATCCAACAGCTCTGTATTGACTACAGGGGGTTGTGTAGTGGCTTACAGTTTTCACAAGCAACACATTTTTATCAGCAAGAGCACTGCAGCAGCAATCTGTCTTTCTGCTACAAATGACACCAGTTTGCAAAGCCCTGCTCTGACCGCCCCTCATAAAAGGAACAAGCTTGTAAGAGAGCAAAGGGAAAGCTACAGTGCTTAATGTTGGTACTAATTTTATTTAGGCAAATCCATGCAGTTATGCTTTGATGTTTATTAAAGCATGTCTGTGCAGAAAAGCCTGCTCAGCTTGCACTGAGCCAGGAGCCACAGCATGGTTAATGTTGCAGCAGGCCCAAGATCAACACAGAGGACACTCAAAGCTCACAGCAGGTACAGTGCTAGCACTGCAGCCACCTGCGAGTCAGAGGGGAGAGATGAGCAGTCAAACCAATGGAAAGGAAATGGAAAGTGGAATGGAAAGGAAAAAGGTCCCAAACATTTGGACAAGCAAGCCTCAATTTTTCTTCATGCCATTAGGACTTGGTAAGGGGGCAGCACTAGTCCTGCTGGAACAGTTTTGAGACCAGTTTTAATAGCAGAGATGCCAGAGTGCCTATGTGGTTCATTGCACACACTAATGTGAAGTTAAAAGTCAGGGGTTTTTTTAGTAGTTACCTTTATTAAAGCTACAAAATCAAGTTAAAAATACTACAATATTCACATACAGCTAGCAAGTTTCTAAATTAATTGAACAAGGGCAGAGCAATGCCTCAAAGGGTACAGACATGCCACCCATTTCCTATCTGCTACCTTGTTTAAGACTACAGATAGAGCCTGCTCAAGGTCAAGCACCAGTGGATTTCATGTGGCAGGTTGGAACAGTTCCTCACACTCCACTGGGAGAGACAGCACCCAGATTTCCAGTGCAAATGCAAAGTTCTTCAAGATTACGGATTAAACTGTACCAAACATGTTCACAGCTCAGGCTGAGGGAGGCAGCTGGAAGGAGTAACCTGGGTAAGTGACCTCCACTCACTACAGAAATTCCAGACGAAAGTTTCTTACCATCGGGCCAAGACCCACACATACAAATATTTACAAAGACTAAGACACAACCTAGCAAGAACTGAACTGGTGTTTGACTCACTTGCGGAGGCCAGCAGCTGTCAGGCACATCAGGCTTTTGCTGCAGAAAGAGATCCCAACATGTTTTTAAGAACAAGTAACCAGCACTGTGGTCTAAAGAAACACAGAACAACCCAGCCATAGGGCATCTTCTAGGGGTGTCAGTCAAGCTCCTCCTTGATAGGGGTACAACCTGAGAAAAAGCTCGTATTGCTGCTCAGCATTCTCTTCTTTTTCTTTACAAATGGTATCTGGTTCTCTTGGGACTCCTCATCTTTCACGTGCCCAGAGGCAGCAGTGCTGGGCTTCTTCAGGAACAACTCTTGGTCTGTGATGTCTTTCAGCACCTAACAGAAAAGCAAGGAAGATAATTTTGGAGTCAGTCACTGTCCTGAAGAAGCCAGCCAACTTGCACTGGAGCTTGGAGGCAGCACATACAGAAGTTGGCAGGCCAACATCAAGAGCTGCTTAATTTCTTTACTCAAGTGAAAATTCTAGGGACAATTTTACAGGCTGAGCAGGATGAGACAGTATTTGGAATAACACACAGAAGGTACACAGGGAGTAAGTAAATTAATTCAGCTGAGGAAAAACTACAGCTGCCAAGTCTGAGTACACAACAGGTTAAGAACAGTAAGTTTGGATGTAGACAGACGTAATTTTGTCCTGTGAGCTCCTCAGTTACCACTCTTACTGCTGAAAGGTGCAGCAGGAAAGTATGGCAACCTACATGGCAAAGTTTCAGGATGAAAACTTCAGCAGACTCAAAACTTAACTACAGGCTGGCTTGGCAGCTGTAGTCCACTCAGAATTTTCTAGAAGTCTATCATCTTGCATTTCTTTTCCTTCTTTAAGAGCCATCACTAGCTCTACACAAGGTGTGCACACATTCAGAACCACTGTTCTCTTACAGATTTAGGCAGTACCTTTGTGGTTGGTGTCACACACACAGGCTGGAAGAAGGTCTCTCCTGTAGCCACTTCAGTGGGGTCTTCAAGTTTGAGGGAACCTTCAGAGTCTCTCGTGTGGTCCTCACACACTGTGGCATCCTGAAGGGCAGTATAGTTTGAAGCACTTCTACAATATCCATCCCTTCCTTCCCCACCAACAGCTGAAGAAATATTAGGGGTCCCTGCGCCACCTCCTCTCCCGCTGGGGTAATTCACAGCACAGAATGCTGGATGCATCAAATAGTCAGTAATTAGAGAATTACTATGGGAGGTCTCTACCTCAAATCTCTCAGATCCAAGAGCAAGGCAAACATTTCTAACAAACATCAGTTGCTCATAAACCCTCCTGAATGCGCAAACCCCTCCCCAAGGTATCTATTCCATTCTTAAAAAAAACAATAATCTGAAAATGAGTTAAGTTTTGGTGCCATCTGAAAGTAAATAAAAACTGTATTTTTAGCAAGTGTAAAAGACAGACTTAAGTTGTTTGTCTTCAGAACCACAGCCAACAGCTGGCAGTAGGTAAATCTGTATGACTTGGGACATCACACACATTTCTGTATTGACTGCAAAAGCCTGGTACTGCAGTGGAAAACTTTGTACTCAGTTACCACTGATAACCACTGAGCTACAGTGACATTTACAAGTGTTTCACAAAGGTACATGAGCTTTACCTTGACAAATGTGGATAAGAGCACAACCTCCTATCCATTCAAACACACGCCATAGTCTGGACATTGGGTGCAGGCCCTATCACACCCAAACACGCAGCACCACTCACCGGAACACCAGAGTCTCTGTTTCTGCATTTTGCTGAGTCGCAGCTACAGCCTCCAGTGCAGCCCACCTTCTGCTTCCTGCAGCCACACTGCCTGTTTCCACACCGGCCCTTGCAGGAGCACTGAGGAAGAGAAGAGCTCTGTGCAGAAAGAGCTTCGGTCTTTTAAAGCCTGCATCTAGATTGCCACAGCAATCTAAGGGACAGTACTGTCCCCAAAGCTGCCACAAAGCTTTTAAGGTTTCACTGTCACATGCCAGGAAAAGAAACAAGGTCTTTCCATCTAGAGCCACCTCCTGTTTCAGTATCCCCAAAATAAGCATATTTTATTACTCAGTCCCTGAATTCAAGTTATCCCAAAGGATGCCAAGTTGCAGTGTGTTAGAAAAACTAACACTCACATGCTAGGAGGCAAACCTGAGTCAGCCCTAGGGCCTTCCCT